ACGCTGAGGGTCTGAGTGACAAAAGGAATCGCCGTCACCTCAGCCTCAGCCTCTGCATTTCCGTCCCCTCTGCCCCAGGGCGCCGGCGCCACCCTCTCTGGCTAGGTGGAAACTGGCGCCTGGGGAGGAGGGGCAGAACAGCCATCTCTACCTCCATGGGGAGAGACCCGACACACACCCTGCTCCATGCTCACCCCAACGGGACACGGGCCTGACAGCTCTGACATTTGTCCTGAAGCCTCACCTTCTGAGTCCGTAGGGGTGACTCTGGCCTGCACACAGCACTAGAACTCACCGAGGAGCCCAGGCCCACACACTCAAGCGGCCTCCCCACACTGGTCCACAGGAACACACTCAGAGGGGCACGGATTCTGCTCTTGGCTGCCCCCAGCACCAGCAGCGTGGTGGGCGTGGCCCTGTGCACACCCTGGGCTGGGCCCCCTGGCGAGAAGGGCTTAGAGCCCCTTCACTCAATGACTGGCTTCCCGAGGGCGCCCGGTTCCCTCCAGCCCCTGGCTGCCAGGCCGATAGCTGGGTCATGAGGTTGTCACTCAGAAACAGCCTCCTTCCCCTAGCTGCTTGGCGCCTGCTCCTGTCCCCATCTAAAGACTCCCTTTTCTTCTGGGCCAGGTAGAAGTGACCACCTTTGTGACAGAGGCATGGCCTAGTCCCACACAGTCACCTGGGCAAACGTGTCTGTGGGGACCACAGCCCGCCTCCCTGTAGGGCCTGGAGGGGCTCAGCTGTGTTCTGGGCACTTGACACGTGCTATAACTCACATAACCCCCACGGCATCCCCGACAGGCCAGGACGACCACCGGCTCCCGTGTCATAGACGAGGGGCCCAGGGAGGCCAGGAAACTGGCCTGGCCAGTGAAAGATGGATGGAGCACCACGCTAACCCAGGAGGTCTGGCTCCAAGGTCTGGCTCCATCCACTCCACCGAGTCGCTTCTGCCAACAACCTCCACAGGAGAGACATTCTTGGGTAATTTGGTTACACTGTCCAGGCCACAGATTTCTTCAACACTGGCCCATGAGCTCCCTGAGGCAAGAAGCCAGCCCTTGGCCACTCAGTCAGGACTCAGTTTGTTGACCAGGAAAACCACAGATACCTCATTTTGGGCTGCCTTGTCTCTTGATGTGGTGCTGGCACGGGGGACAGATACGGGGCGGGGGAGGAGGGCAGTGGCTAGGCCAGAATGGCAGAGAGGCCACCGCTGGGCGCTCTCCTCCCTCTCCCCTCCACATCCCCAGTTCCCCTGAGCACCCCAAAGAAGCTAGACCATAGCTAGGCATCTTTGTTTGACCAGACAAGCCCCTGCAGGTATGAAACGGGTGGAGATGGTTACACAGGAGAAATGGAATTTAGTTTCTCTGTGGTCACACGCCAAGGAGCTGACTGCCTTTCAGTCATGAACTTGTGGCCTCTTCCCGGGTTCCTCACTGCCCCTCCCCCTTAGTCACCCAGCTCTGTCCTTGCCAGCTGTTGTTTTCTGTCTGAGGTTGGGTTTTTCCTCCCATGTGCTGTGGTTTGGGGCCCAGCCAGTCAGGGCTGGTGAGTGCGGAGCTGCTGGGGAGCGAAGCAGGAGCTTCTGGGCAGGGCAGCCCTGCAGGCGGGGCCGTTACCTTCCCCGGCCCGCCAGAGCCCACACCTGTGCCAGGTGCTGTCCGAACCTGTCCCGAAAGGCCCTCGTCTCTGAGATCAAGTGGGCTTCCCATGTCCGGCCGCCAGCTGCAGAAGCTGCCATTCTCCAGATGGCCAACAGCTGGCCTTCCACACAGCTGCCAGATGTGGCCGGTGGGGCAGCTGGCTGGCTCCACTGGGCAGAAGTCACCGCATCGGAGCAATGCCAGGGGCCGGTGCCCGGGGAGGCTGTGCGGGGCTGGGCTGACAGCGTCCTGCCCAAGAAAACCTCCACCTCCTCCCCGTCCAACATTCCTCCCCTCCCCACCTCGGCGGGGTGGTGTTTTCATAACAGGAAAATAAAATCAATATGACTCTGCAGCAGGATGTCAGGCCTCCGAGCCGGCCTCCAGCGCACCATTGTCTGGGGCTCCAGCGGGCCTCCAGCGGGCTCAGCGCGGCCCTCACAGCCACTGCCGGGCTGAAAGCGGGTTTTGAAAATCACAGAGACAAAGGCGCAGACACCTGGAGCGTGGCTTCCTAACACCACAGCCACCGCACAATGGCGGGGGCCGCGCGGCCCCCCTGTAACTTCTCTGGCAACTTTTATGAAAGCGGGAAAGAAAAGCGGAGACGCCCGTGAAAGTCCATC